AAAAAAAAAAAAAAAAAAAAGGAAAAATTTTTTTAGCTTCAAAAAAATTTGCAACATTTTAACAGTATTATTCTTCTTTTACTGTACGATAGTCACATATTCGTTTAAGTATTTTCAATTTACTGTTTGATCACTTGAATCAACTCAGACCAAAGAAATAATTGCATTGATAAATTGATTAGTGTTTTTACAGAATTTTAAATTTGTAAAGTTTTAAGCATGTATTCGAATTTTGTGATACAATGAACTTTGCTTCAGATGATTAAGTTCTATAAATCTGTCAAATTATTTGTTATAGAGCACATCTGCAAAATCTAAACGTTTAGTTCAAAAACAATAAATTTGTTGACAGTTACATGCAACCAAATGTAATAATTTCTTCTTCACACTTTATATTTGCTGCTGATTAGAACTATATCATTTTTTTTCAAGTATTTTCACATTTTACTACCGTACGTAAAAAAAAAAAAACAGTGAACATCTGTGTAAAAATTTGGCTACAACTGAATAATTTGTTTAAAATTTTAGTTTTCAACTATATTGGAAGTAAAAAAAAATCTGCAAAAAAAATTCTGTTGAACCGACAGATACTATTGGTCGGTAGCGGCAAATAGAATTTTTATTGAGTAGACGAATCGTTATTACTGTTCGCTGTCCAACAGATAGTATTGGCGCGTCTTGAAAGGAATTCTAAAAAAATTGGCATTTTGTCAAAACAAGGAAGAAAATTTTTTATACTAAAAAATCCAAATGGGAGAATATTGGATCGAATGTTTTTTTTAGATTTTGCAGTGATGCAGCAGTTTTTTTTTTCCTCCTTCCTACTTTTCTGGTGGCATATGATTAGAATTTGTCTGTTTTTATTTTTGTTTTTGTTATTTTTTCCCAGCTAAACTATTTTTGTATTTTATTCTAAATTTTATTTTTTTCTTTGGTCGCCTATCATTAATGATTAGTAAATCTGTATAGTCACTGTTGTTCTTTGTCCAATTTTAGTCTATGATATTTTGATTATCGGTACTTTTTTCCCACAGTTTTCTACATTCCACAGGCGATTTGGTTTCTTGAAGTTTAGAACAAAATTTTTTTGGATCAGTATAATAGGGGTCAATTAAACGGACTAATCTTAATGCTAGAATTCCTGGTTTTCCTCTGATGTTTTTTCAACGTAAATTTGGTGACTGGTACTACTTTTTTTTCCACGCAAACGATTGCATTTCACTTCAAAAACTACTTTTAACTTTTCATTCTTAATTAAAATTTATGCCCTAAAACGCTCTTTTATTTGTTGGGGAAATCGATGAAACATGCGTGCACATACATGATGCATACATAAATACATACATGTGACATATACAGTTGGTTACATTTTCTCAGCGATTGAAACACTGTTTTTATGAAAAACAGTACTTGTCATCCTTGTTTTGTTTTGTTTTTTAAGGATGAGTGAAGATGACTTAGATATACAACTCGAAGAAATTCAATCAATTTCGGCAATATATGGGGACCTCGTTAGTCTCGATTCACCCTCGCGATTGAACATAAAATTTGACTATGATGTACAGCTGACAATTGATTTGCCCCCTGATTACCCATCATCGTAAGTGTTGGTTCCAGATAAATAACTTTGACTCTCTTTTATTTTATTTGTATTTTTATTATTTTATTTTACTTTTTTTTTTGTGTGTGTGTGAGTTTGTGTTTTTAAGGTTTATCTACTTCAGAAAGCTTTCATTCTTAGTTAATTAATGAATGTAGTTTTTTGGTTTACCAGTTCTATTAAAATGGGCCAGTGAGATGTGGATTTGTTATTTTAGGAATCAATACAAAAAGTTTTAAGTGAGACGGAAGTTTATTTTATCTCCTCC